ATCTCTGCTCCAATCTTGGTATTCTGAATTTAACCACTGGGCCACCCTGCATAGATACCACAACCCAGTTCAAGTCGCCTCTTTTACTTATGCGTTTTATTGTCTGACACTTCCCCTATTTTAGAGTACCGAACTAACGTTCTCTGCCTCCCTCCCCAGCTTCTGGGAGAACTCTGACAGGTTCAGGTGGGGGGAACACGCGGGTATCGCGGGGTTCATCGTGGGGCCGTCCTACAACCTGCTTGTGTCCCCCCTGGAGCACCCCATGGGGGTGAGCAGCTGGCTGGAGATCAATAACAACACGGCCTCCTTACACTACGGGGTGAGTTTTGTGTATTGCGGTAATTACATGTTTGTTGGTATTGCGAGTATAGAGCGTCGAATAAAGTACTAAATTCACCCGATCAAAGCTCTACTTTGAAGTGCAGATGCAGTATTATTCCCATGTGTTTTTTATAATGCTACCAGCGAATTGTCTTCACGGGGCAACCTCTGTCATTAGAATGTTCTGCGCAGGAATAAATTTTTAAAATTTTGGTCCAGATCTCGCCTCTGAAAGAGGTCAGTAGTAAGTAGTTATCCAATTGAAGCAGATATTTGGTAACCCAAGAGCTAACAGGAACACGAACACTTATTGTATCCAGTTAAGGTAATAGGTGAACTGTCCCTGCTACAGGTCCAAGGAAGGGCGGACTCCATCCCTGCGGGTTATCGCGTCAGCGTGATCGCCGTGACGAGTCAGAACCCCTCCTTCGTCCAAACTGTTATGGGTGACTACACTAGCTGTGCGAAAGTTTGGCTTTATGACACTGTTTTTTATGAAAGGGAGTTGCAATTATTAATTATTAATTTTCACCCATGAGTAATCAGTAGGATTATGGGCGGTACGCGTCACAAATTAACTAGGTGAGCATGAATGCGTACTGGAACGGTTTCTAGGCAGAATGCCTCTGAATGTAAAACTTGGCTTAATACAGATGAGTCTAACTTGAATGTAGATCTGAAGGCCGCAGGAAGATTATTCCTGTATCGGTTTGAAGAAATTAAAGTTCGACATAATCGAATCCTGTGGCTTGTTTCTGTTGACCGTCTTAGCAGGTTCTGTTGAATAAATTTGCGTTGCGTCCTGGTGCATTTGTCCACACTTTCTGAACGTACTAAACGTTGGATCTCTCACAAGACAATCATTGATTTGTCTATACTATGTGTGTTAGGAAATAACATTAAATCCAATGGATGAATAATTATTACGGCCCGTTTCTCGAATACNAGCAGGACTGGCTGGACCAGGAGTACGACGGAGTGAGGTACGTCCTACGAGCAGGACTAGCTGGACCAGGAGTACGACGGAGTGAGGTACGTCCTACGAGCAGGACTGGCTGGACCAGGAGTACGACGGAGTGAGGTACGTCCTACGAGCAGGACTAGCTTGACCAGGAGTACGACGGAGTGAGGTACGTCCTACGAGTAGGACTGACTGGACCAGGAGTACGACAGAGTGAAATATGCAGCCAGGTTCTGTGATCATTGAAGAGAAAACTAAAACTCGATAACGATGGTTACGTGAAGAAAATGATACTCTGAGGGTAGTGTCGTTACACCAACCTGCAACGGCCAACCTTAATATCAGGAGTTAAAGTTATCTAGGAACATCAATCATATAAATATGAGAAGTAAGAAAAAGGATCAAACACTACAGTTGTTCTCTGCAAGCATTATGCAATCTTTATGCAACAATAAAATTATCCTTCAGCGCACTGCACACCAACGTCACCCTAGCAGACGACTGGCTACACAACATGGCGGAGTCTGCGCGGCTGCACGGCCTTCCTGTGCAGTACTGCATGAGTCTCCCCAGAGAAGCCCTGCATGGCGCTTCAGAGTCATCAGTCACGCAGATCAGAGTCAGCGACGACTATCACTTAGCCTTCGTGAGTTAAAATATTTCAATTGTACTAATAACTATTTAGTATCAGGATCAATCGCATCTTTTTAGCTAATTTTCTCATTTATAGAAAAAATGCATTATTGTGCTCGCCATGTCCGTCTGTCTTTCCGTCTGTCTGTCTGTCCGTCCGTCCGTGACTTCACGTTTTCGTCTACGAGAAAATGCGCTCTGTCACTCACTGCAGTGAGTACTGAGTTATATTTTTCTAATTATCGTAGTGTTTGCCCACTAGTATAATTTATTATGTAACACACATAAGTCTTGGCCGTTAGTAGTCAGACGTTACACACATTATTGATTCAATAATCCGGTAACAATGGTTTGACCATAAGTGCTAGAGAAATATCATCGATTATATGGCACTCATATAAATAGTTCCATTCTTTTGTTCTATATTTTCCAAAATATTTTTTTCCGAATGAACTCCGAATGCAAACGCTAAGATAAGAAATGTTATACTCTGACAATGTAAACTTGTTCCAAATTGATCACTACTACTAACATCTTCTGCAGAACCAATGGAAGATCGGTCACACCTCCCTGTTCGCCCACGCCCTGGGGCTGAAGCCTTTCAAAGACGTCTTTTGGACCAGCAACGACAACGTCAACAACCCTTACGTCTGGTGCCAGTCTTTCAACGCGGGCTCTTCGTCGTACAATGGTCATGTTAACATCACAGGTACTGAGAAATTCGGCAATTATTGAAAAACGACAATTTTGCACTTCCATACTGAAAATATATACGTAAAAAGTTTAATCGTCTTCTGATCCACCACCCTCATGCCCCAGTAGGCAAGTCACCCACTCTCCTGAGGCCTCAGACGCTGAAGGGACTAATCATGATAGATTCGAAATCGCTTACCGCGAACCTCAGTTCCTTGTACTCAATTCACCGAAAATTGGCATTCTAAGTCTAGCAACAGACCGGAGCCTGATCGCTAATTGACATCCTCCTCGTAGCCCACCACCAAATAGATTCCTGCTTCACTCATGTTATGTCTATACTCACTTTTCCTGCTTTAACTTCGACATGAAGTCATCGAGCTGCTCCAATGAGCTAACGCAAGGGTCGAAATTTGTGATTTGGGGTAAACGGAAATTAGAGGATTTGCGAAGTCCTGTAGCGACGATGATGCAACAATTTTGAACGAATTGCCTTGTCCCGGCGCTACAGGATTCACCCACCTCCACCTCCCGTCATGCTGTGTCCACCCTGAGCGCTGGACCGGTGGGTTTCGGCGACAAAATGGAAAACATCAACAGAGATCTCGTGTTGAAGTCGTGTCGTTCTGATGGGAAACTCCTGCAGCCCGACAAGCCTTTGACAGCTATCGACGATTTCTTCATGCGTGATGATTCACAAGGTAACATTTGGACTACGGAAACAACTATCGGGTCAGAGGACACGTTCGGTTTAATATTCATCGCTGAAGTTGCTGATAGTCAAAGTCACACCCCCAGACAACTTAACCTTGAAAAATCGATGTCCAGGGATTACCTATCATGGACACACTATCCGTACGAAGAAAAATCTAGGATTCACTCAGCAAATGACTCTATTAGTATTCCAGCTTCAGATCAATTTTTGGATTTCAAAATTCTAGCGACATCTCCTCTCTACCACGTCGATGGGTTAACATACGCAATCATCGGCGAAATTGCAAAGTGGGCACCCATATCAAGGACCCGTATTACAAGCGTAACAGCTGATGATGTCGCTTTTGAGATCGAGATAGAGGGAACTGCTGGAGAAGATGTATACATATATATCTATGTGCGTGGTCTCACCGACTACGAAATAAGGGTGGCTAAATGCTCCTTCACTTCAACGAGTTTACATGCCACCATAGACAATTACGGAAATTGCTTTGAACACTCGTGATTAAATTATAAATGCATCAAGGATTCGCAACTATATTCTTGAATCCTCTTCAGCGCTGATATGTTCTTGAAAAGTTATTTAAGAAAAAGTCACAGTAAACATCCTACTCTCTCGTTAACAGATTTTTATTAAAACCATTCCGTAGATATCACAAGACTCGGTTCAAAATAATGTAGGGACTAGTCAAGTAAGCGCATATGATTGACTTTAACGCGAGAAAGACCTGACAAGGGATTGAGGAGCGCACGGTAGCAGAGAATAGGCTCGGTATCAAATAAAAATTGTTAGAATTAGCTATATGGTCGCATGCCAATCTGCAGTCGCGTGGAGGCCACAACAATGCAACATTAGTGCCGGTATGACCATTTAAGCGCCGACATTAGGTTCACTCGTTGGCTTTGCATGGACGCCTCAGTCTGGCTTCGTCCCGGCAGCAACGGCAGTGACCGGCACCAACGCGATGCCTACATTAGAGCAATGGCTGCGTTAGAGCCCAATCAGTGCCGTGTTGACAGTGTCACTAATACGGTCGTCTAATTCATTTCAGAATAAAACGAAGCGTACCTGCTCAAAGATCGTATTGTTTACATTTGCGTAAAGTAGACACACGAACATTACTCAATTGCAAAATCCTGGGTACCTAAACGAGTACATACTATCCCAATTTCTTATCATATTAACGCATGTATTACAGCATGATGTGAAAAATCGTAAACATGCGTGAATTTAAAAAAAAACACGCCCGCTTAACATATATCCGAGCGAAATATTAATGTCGGTAAGCAAGCACTACAAGGCTTAAGTTCTATACACTCACCTAGAGATCGAGATAATATCAGGGTATTTCATTGCGTACGACTTTGCACTGATCAAGTCGCTGCTAATCTTAATAGACATTAACTTAGCTTATCTATGTTATAATAACATAATCATGTTTACCCAAATAAACAATATATTATCTATGAACTTTAATCCTGCGAACTCAATTCGTGACTAGATTTTTATCGCACTAGTTCCGCAAGCGCATTTCTGATGGAAAACTTCATCTAAGCGGCGTGCACCACCACGAAGTAAGTCATAAGATTCAGTCTCATAACAATAATGAAACGCAAAAAATTTTCATTCTAATAGTGAAATGTTGCAGGATATTTTTAGGTAAACTTGTCGTTTCAGCGTTGTCAAAACGAGTTTAAAAGTAAATAACAGATCGGACGGCCATTTAATTTCCCAGCAAAGTACAGAATCGGCTATCATACGATAAACGTAGTGCATATGGAAAAACAGCCGCTGTCTTAGAATTTTTGTTCCTTGAATTTTTCGCAACGTTTATTGCTTTTTAACAACTTCCCTTCATGTAAGATAAGCATTCAGAATACTTATTGGACTTGTGGCCAATGAATATTTAAACAAAATATGAAGAAATTCACATTAAACAAATTTTAATATGTCAACAATCTGCGCATTCAAACTTAGACCAATATTCGTTTAGGAGAATAACTATTCACTGAGAGGATGAAGAGACGACAGAGCATAACGATCCAAGAAATTGACATAAGGCGATATTAATTATTAAATAAATTGACTTATGGCGATATAACTTTCAAAACTTGATAGTAAAAACGTCTACTGCACTAGACGTCCGCTGCATTACACATGCAGAGCCTTGTTTTAGAGGCATATATGCAGGTTTATAATAAACATAGCAGAGTTTGCAAGACTGTCGCGATTGCTTTCAATTACTTATAGATGATTATTAAGCATAATAATTACCATTTATGTATAATTATGACTATTTATAGAATCTTATCATATCCATAGACGAGGAAAATGTCAGGATCTCTCAAGAGCCACTGAGTGCGGGTGGGAGAGCGGCATCTGCGTTGCTACTCAGTTTATAAGAGGTCTTAGAGTAAACAAGTTCTGATGTCTCTGTTTATAAG